ATTTTCATAAAAACAAATCATCAACATATACAAATCAAATATAGTATGTTCAAATGAAGACTTAAGCAATAATGAGAAAAAAAACAAGATCATGTTTCTATATTTGCTTATTCAGAATGGAGAAAATGTACCAATAAAATAATACTTTTCAAAAAGATTATTTGTCTATATTCTCGTCATAAAAATGAACATTTAAATGATTCATCTTTCTTTTCAGACCAGAAAGATTGTTTAAAGTATGAACAAATGTTCCATCAGATTTTTCATAGGATAATAGTCCACCATCCGACAATTTTCCAATATGTATTCGATCTCGACAAATTTCACTAGAAAATATTTCTATAGGTACTCGATTATTTAAAAATGCATTCGGTGAAACCAATCTAAGATGTTGATTGTCTTGTTTAGCTAATAGATATCGTCCAGGACAATTAGCAATCTCTTTCCAACAATATAAGTTCAAAAGCTTGTTAAAAGACGAAATCTTGACTGTCCATTAACAAACCGATTAGTAGATATGTTAGCAATGTACTGTTTAGTGATGAGGAATGAGATGTGCCAATAGAAGAGTCAGCAATCGTCACTAATATATTTTAAGATCTAGAACAAAGATAAGAGATTTTTTTAAATCTTCGAGTGTATGTTTACATATCAAGAACAAGAGCCACTTCCATGCGAATAGAACAAAAGGTATAGAATAACCTTCACTAATTAATGTGGTCAAGAGAAAAATGGGGAGCATAAAGTTTATCAGCCTGAGGTAAAGAGATGATACTTATCCATTTGATGAAGAAGTCATAATGATAATACCAGTAATTGTTTAACAAATTTACATTCTTTCCGTTGTAGTGAGTTAAATCAAATATTTACACTCGTCGGCCATAGTTAAAATAGTTTCTCGTCCGTCTCAATATTCGATCTCTAGTCATAACATCGAATTTTTTTTTTGACTAGTCAATGAGCGATAAAAAACAACTGCATAAGCTCACTATAACGTTACCAGACATACTATAGTGGAAGTTAGAAAACTGAACATAGTGCGATAACAATTCATATTGATCCAAAGACTAACTTTGAAAATAAAAGTATCTAATTTAATAGATCGAATAAAATACGAAAAAAAAAATAGTAAATTCGATGATCACTATTACCAAAATAATCTTTAATACTCAGGACTTCGGCATTAATAGGGCATTGGATTCATTGAAAGTTCTCGTTAGAGTTGAAACAGTTTTCTCAAATTTTTAAGTGCGTGCGTTTCAACTTCGTATCTCGCCTGGGAATCTCATCATTTGTTATATGCGTACCTATAGATTGAAATTGTTCCAGACTTGATTTTTAATTCATATTCGATTACTTTTAGAGAGCCGATTATTGAGAGACATTATGGAACAATTCACAATTATAATCACAGTCGATATTGGCATTACTAATATCGATGTATACAAAAGACTGGTGAATAAATGCAAACATCTTTCGAGAAAAGTATTATTCAAATGCTAATAAGCCGAAAAGTATTCGCAATACAGAATAAACGTTGTCAGAATATCGTCGAATGATCATAAAAATTCCACCGGGCAACAATTTCGCAGGTAGAAAGAGGCGAAGACAATCATCTGGTTGATTATTTTTTCTCGATGTTACATAAAAAGTATTCATCATGTGCTTTCTTGCATATGCACTTGCATCATAACTGTGTCATTACTCATTCGATTCGTCATCCTTTTTTTCTCTCGACTCTTAACGTCAACAAAAGAAAGAAAAAGAATCTAAACATTAATGTGTTAGTCGATCATAGTTAACAGAAATACAAAAATACTCTGTTGTCGTCTTATCGCATCTTTATCAAAACATTTTGGGACGGGAACGGAAATTCTTGTGGAGATTTCGGGAACGGGAACGATAAAAAAAATATCCATTCCCGGAAATCCGCTTGTCCTATTTCTAGATGCGCTAAAGTGTGTTCGTGTAAGAAACTTTTATTTTCAATAACTATTTTCGTATATAATAAACAAAAAAAACAGCAAATATCTATCAATAAAATTATGAAAATTCATTCATTTCTCTCTGCATCTTACATTATGACAAAGATCGGCTTCTTTATAATCATCATCGAAAGCACGATTATCAAGATTATCTTACAAAACATTAAAATCATCTTCTTTTGAACTTTTTGCTTTTCTCATTGGTTTCATCAAAGTGCAACTATTTATTCTTTTTCTTATTTACTCAGTTGATGGTGGAAATAGTTCTCTTGAGGTTGATAAATTTCAATTTCTCAATAATAACTGATTTATTTTACTTCTATCCAAATGCGCATGACGAATTCTTGTTGTATATCTACTGTTCAAAAAAGAGTGTTTTTAGAATATTAATTGCCGAAATACACGTCACTCGTTGAACTATTGCAGACAGTATAGAGTCAACTATTTATTATTGCTTCAATATATAGAAACATTTACATCTTTTCCCACTTTTATCTGATCTTCAACGTATCTTGTGAATTCAGTCTTTATTTCTTTTATCATTGTGTAACTTATCAAATGGTATTAGCACACATCCGCACCCTCAGAATATGAATCAAAACATTGCAGATTGATATTGACAATAGATAAATTCAATTTCGATGTAGCTTACTATAATTTATGTCACATTCTGAAAAATGTAATGCTGTGAGAAGCTAATATTAGACAACGATATTTTTTTGAAATGTAAAACAATGAAATTCCGCCAGGGATTCTGAACGCCTTACGGGAACACAGGAACGGGAACTCAAAAAAGTTGCTCCCGCAGGACTCTACTACTAACAGCCCAAATTTTACCAAAATTTAAATAATGTTTTGAAAACTGACGATATATTTATATTTTAATTTGATCGTTCACACCCAACTGTTTAGAATAGTTGTTCATTGCTTTTTTTTATACTTTCTTTCTAATGAACGTCGTCACTATGAAACTTTAAAATTTTCACAAAGTTGCAGAAATTTTCGCTTCGTGAAAAAGTAATATTGGAAAAGCATGATTATCATAGTATATTTGAGCTTTGGTTTGTTGAAAATTTTTGTCTTTTTTCGCTTTTCGAATATTTTCATTGTGCTGAATTGTTATCAATGTAGCCACCTTCTGTGGCAAAGTTATAGGGGGAAGATTGTAGGTGACGAGTATATTTTCACCTGAGTATTCACTTTGTAGTATTAAGCTGGAAAAATACCCACTGCAAGCAGGTAACAAAACTGCGTCATTCTTCATTATCTTACCAAAATTGTCCTCATCCACTAAGAAAAAGAAAAATAGTGCACTTTGTTGTTTGTCAGTAGTGTTTTTTTCTTTGGAACTTCGAAGAACAACAGGAAACAGTTAATACTCAGGTGAAGTAAAGCTGAATGAAGAGATGTTGACAATCCATAAATCATGCTGTGGACACTTTTATTCCAGCAAATTTTTAGACTTTGCTACCCAAAGTAACCGATAACAGCACTAATGCATTCTCGGAAATATCCTCTACGCTAATAAGGTACAGATTTTATAAGAATGAAAAGAATCGAAGCGTTTTCTTGATACTTGTTGATCACGGTTCTAATAATTATAGTTTTCTTCTTTGTGATTAGAATTGACAACTATTTTAGCAATAAGTTTATGTCGTAATTTGAATGTTTTCACTCACGGAAACTCTGCTCGTATAAAATTTTTAACTCAATACCACTTTAAGGAAAAACACCCATAATTTCATATTGCATACTTTAGCGAAAGTTTTCAATACAATCTCTATAGTATTCAAATATGAACTACGATGACACTGTTTTAAGTTTTGCATGAAAACTTCTGCCTATAGTATTGTTTCTGCCATTTCAAATAAACATTTTGTTTTCGTCTATAGGTTTTTTTTTCTTCATTCTGTTCTATTTGATTCTCATTTTACACAATTCACGTCATCCATCACAGTCAACATTTTAAAGTAATTCAGTCGACATTGACTCTTTGTGCTTTTATCGGTATCAACAGAACAACAAGACAATAAGTCACAATATTCTACAACAACAATATGTTCCTCTCAAATGTGTGAATGTCGAAGCAACAGTTCGATCATTCGCTGCCGACGTAACCATAATACAAGTGTTTCGAAACGATTAAACGATACCGATCGAAGCAGTTTATTGTTTTCCAATGGAAGAACAAGCAGTTGTGTATGCTTTTCGAGCTCTTATCGACGATCGAGAGATTATTGCTGAATTGAAAGAGAAGAATGAAGCTCAACAAGGTCATGGTGCTTACATGCTTGAACAAGATGAAAACTTGCCGGACAATTTCATCATCAATGTTGGTGCACTTCTATCTGGCAAAGAATGCAAAATAATCATCTCGTATGTCTCTGAGTTAGACCTCGTTGAAAATGGTACCAAAATTCGGCTTTTTGTTCCAACATCGGTTGCACCTCGCTATAATTCACGCAAGGGTGGTATCAGCTCACCTACTGGTACTACTGCAAACTATGTACAATCAAGTTCGTATACGATTGAATTTCGCTGTTGCGTGGAAAAACTGGCATATCCCGTATTGGTTCACTATCTCATCGGATTCAAATTGATTTTGCTCAACCAGATGTCTATGTAGTTGAATTTACCCCAAAAGACACTCATTTAGATCGCGACATTCTCGTAGACTTCGAATCGGCGAAAAATCGACCAAATACAATTTTAGCGATTGAACGTGGAGTGGTTATGGCCTCGTTCACACCCACCAAAGAAGATTGTCGGCTTGCTCTGAACAATAGTAGCATCACAAATGAATTCATGTTTATTGTCGACTGTAGTGGATCGATGGGCAGTGAGAACAAGATCGAATTCGCTCGTCAGACCTGAGAACTTTTTCTCAAGCGTCTTCCGGTCGGTTGTCATTTTAATATTATTCGATTCGGAAGTGAACATCAGATTTTGTTCAACGATGCCACAGTCATTTATAATGAAGACAATGTCCAGAAAGCTCAGCAGCTTACTAAGAATATGACAGCAGATTTACGTGGGACTGAATTGGTAAGTTTGAACGCTTATTCTTATTTTTATTTGTGATAATCAGCCGTGTTTTCATTGTAGATGAAACCTTTTCAATGGCTAGAAGAGCATCCACCTACACAAGGTCATTCTCGTCAAATTTTTCTTCTTACCGATGGTGAAATTTCGAATGTTAACGAAGTGCTTGATCTATGCCGTTCGATGTCTACATCGACTCGGATCTTTTCGTTTGGTTTGAGTTTATCCCCGAGTCGCTCGNCTCGCTAGCTGAATGGATTTCACCAGTCAAAATTGAAAATATTTTGGAACAACTGCCAGAAATTTCATCAGCATTTGTCTTAGGTGATTCAAGTTATGCTTATGTGGTAGCCATTGTATGTCCATCTGAAATTGGTAAAACATTGAATGAATCTGAAATGTTACAATTGATTCGATTTTATGGCGCACATTGTGGTTTACGTGGATCAGAAATACCTCAATGTACTTACATCGAACGAGATATTATTTGGAATGCCGCAAACGGTCTAATGAAAGAGAAAAAATGTCGTGCAGCATTATTGAAACATTATGCTCAAGTCAAAATCGATCTTTTCCATCAAGAAAATGTTCAAGAACATCTAAAAAATCTTGATTTGAATATCGAATTCGTATCCATATTAGAAAATGTCTTAAATCGTTCTTTAAAAGGACATATCAATGGTAGAAATACATTCTTAGAAATTGGCGCTGATTCCTTAGCTGTTGCTCGTTTATGCAAAGTCTATCATGAACGTGATATTCCTTTGAATCCATCGGCTGTATACAATTATCAATTAGATCATCTCGAAGAAATATTACTGAAAAAACATGTTGTTTATAATGAAATCATAATCGATATTGATTGGAAAAAGGAATATCAACTTCCTCATCGAATCAAAAGTCTTATTCGAAAATCATCAAGTCCACGAAAGACGAATATCTTAGTTACTGGTTGTACTGGATTTTTAGGTCCACTACTCATAAGTGAAATCGTCAGCAAAACAGATAATAGTGTTATGATTTATTGTTTGATCCGAGCGAATGATATCGAACATGCACAACGACGTCTAAAACAAGATTTACAAAAGTGTGAACGTTTTTCTTCAATCGATTGGACAAGAATTCGATGCATTGTTGGTGATGTATCGAAAGAAAACCTTGGTTTAACTCAGAATTTCTACAATGAACTAACGCAACAAATTGGCTTGATTTATCATAATGCATCCGTTGTTAATTTACAAGTACCTTATAAAGCTTTGAAAGAATCGAATGTTTTTGGTACGTTGAATTGTTTGGAATTCGCAGTGAAATCAAATGCTCGATTCGTTTACACAAGTTCTACAGCTTCATTGCCTGCTTTGATCGATTTTAAAGAAGATTTAAATGGATGGGTAACATTGACATCGAATGATATGAATCTCAAAGATGGTTATGGACAATCAAAAGTTGTTGTTGAACAATTATTATATACGGCTTCAAATTTAGGTGCCGATATTGTTGTTATTCGACCTTGTACGATTTCTGCTGATACTCGAACAGGTTTTAGCAATCTTTACGATTTTATTAATTTGTTATTACGTGCCGAAGTTGAAATGGGATGTATGGTTGAAAATGCTGATTTACAACTACATTCTATACCAGTAGATTATTGTTCCAAAGCTATCGTTGCTTTAGCTATGCATTCTGATAGTGAAGGACATTGTTTTAATTTCTATGGAAATGGTTTGAGTATCTCAAGTCTACATAATGCCCTTGTTCAACAATTACCTGGTGTAATAAAGAAAAAAATTGAACAGAACAATTGGAAACAATATGTGTTGAAGAATCTGCCTGAAAATAGTCCAGCATGGCGAATGAGAGAGCAAATTGCTTCAATGATATTTATAAGTGGACATTTTCAACAACAAAAATCTGGTGTTCAAATAGAAATGACCAAAGAGTTTCTCGAGAAGAAATGTGCTTTGAATTGGTTCGAAGTGACAGAGAAAGATCTAATTAAATCAATTGAATATATGATTAATGTTGGATTTCTATCCTGTCAACCATCTTAACTATTTAACATAGTAGCTCTATTCATTCTGCTATATCAATAACATTTTAAGTATATGGTTTAAAACTGAACTGATCGATATTTCACAATACTTTTCTTCTTTTTTTTTCTATTTTGAGTATACGAAAGCTATTGTAATGTTACTTATTGCTATCCATATAGTATAAACCAACTTACTGATAGCTGGACATCATTTGTTCGTTTGATATTCTTAGTCGTTGTATAACACATAACTTGTTAATCACTTTAAAGCTGCGTGACAAATATTGTTGACTTTGGTATTTTCACCTATTGATGATGATAATGACTTTCCTCGTGATTTTAATTACATATCACGAAGTTAAATCAGTGTCTTATAGGTAATGACAATATCGTATTGATTAAATACTGCTTTTCAAAATATTCGAGCAGTATTAAGACTTAATGTACAAATGCTAACACAGCATTAATTCAAGAGTTCAAATCAATACTGTTTGTTGAAAATGAAAAGATCACTGCATCTTTTCGGTTATTTACTTTAGAGAGTTCTAATGATTTCTTTTGTGTACAAATCTATGTGGAAAATTTTGATGATAAATGCTTTTAGATTGTATGTTTTGAGCCTGTAAAAAAATATAAAAATGGATCTTTGTTCGCTTGATTTTCTTCGATTCTAATCAATATGTGTAATTAGTGCAATAATAATGACCCGGATCTTAACGCATGACTATGAGGAACTCATCTGATACGAGGATGAGGATTTTTTTTTCTTCCCGTTACTCATGTGAAACGAAAATGTTGCGCTCTCATGAATGCGATGAGCAGCTTTCTTTCGATTGAATTGGGAGGTTTGACCTTAGGTAATAAATTCATGCAATGTTACTCATCATTCTTTGATTAACATTGAAATAATTTATCGACTTTTCGTTATATCTTTCAGAAAAAAAAACTTAGATCAAAGGAACTGTGGGGAACATTTATATCAACGACGTTGAAAGTCTTCTTCATATAGAAATATTTTGCGTGTTTCGTTGAATCAATGAAAAGTTAACAGTTGCAAGAGTTTTATAAGTAAAAGTTCAAAGTTTGCTTTCGCAAAGTTGAATCTTCTCGTAGAGCGACAGATTGATTACAATAGGAGAAAGAGCATTAAAAATCGAACAAAATTTTATAATTATAAACTATTTTGTGAAACACGATTGTAAATGACTGTTGTAGTATATATCGAGATAAGTGAACTAGTCTTCGATCTGATACACAGACTGTGGCAGACATTTCGATGTATTTGTCTAACTAGCGTAGCCTCCACCGGTAATGATCGACGTTACTACGATCATCATTTATCAGTACAGTCGATGTATTGTGTTTTTTAGACCATAATAATAATAGGAGTTTTCGTGCCTTACAGTGATGAATTTCCAAGAGATATTTTGCCTTTGTAGTCTATATCAAATCTCGAAAACAAAGAAATCTATTTTCCTCTTATGTGACGCTGTATATTAGCCTCGATTTACCGAGCATCATGGACACATGAACATGATGCTTCCTTGATGTTGTAGTAGATCATAATTAGTTTGATAAATATCGCCAGACTTAAATAGAACAGTTCCATAGAGTGTGAATGTTATTAGAGTGGAGAAATAGTTACATCCAACAACCCACAACCACGCCTTCCACTGATGAAGATTGACTATTCTTCGTCATTGAATGTGAGGTGATATATGGACTTTAACCAAACATTCGACAGAATCAATAATCAACAAGGTCACATTTGTTTTCGAATCGAAACAAAATAAATATTTCGACATATTTTGAAGATCGTTTAACTAAGTTCAAAAAAGAATAGAACGATAACATATCAGACGCAAATACATTATTATTGAACATTTTCAGCGAGTTTATCAGAACAATCGATATATACGAGAGGCTGAGAGTTTTAAATAAAAGATATTCCATGTGTATATCTTCTGGTATTCATTCTCTTTCATTTTGTGTATACGAAGAAATATATATAAAGATTTGACTTTGTCATAAAAATAAATTATGACTGCGAATTGTTCCTATTAATTATATACTTGCCTTTTAAAATCACATTAAAATGATAAAGAAAACATCCGCAAGCGAGCAATCTGTAAGAGAAAAAGTAGAACAGTAATTGCCAAGGGAAAGAAAAAATGAAAGAAATCGATTGGAAATAAACTTTTCAATAAAAAAAAAAACTACAAAGTCTAAGGACCGCTACCATACCATGCAATGTTCACAGTGTTTAAGGTATTCAAACGGTGGTATAATAAAACAAACTCGATTTAGACCAATAAATAGGCGAGTACAATATAAACTCGATGCATAAAATTAGAATTCTTCTACTTCCACACTCAGACCCGCATCCGATTATTCAAGCCAACAATTTGAGTTGAGCATAAATTTAATGTTAGTTTTCCACTTTGGCAAAAATCTGAGGACTCACGTTTTTTTTTCCACCAACATTCGCATGTAGAATGATCAAGGAGGAAACTACTGATTGAACTCAGCTGAAACTCAAAATAAATCATTTTAAATCAGAGGTTTATTTTTGAAAATGAATTATTTTATTCTCAAGATACAACCAAAATTGATATTTTTATTCAATTAATGTTTAAGATTTTGCTAATTTATTCAACGGAGTAAAAGAAGGCATTCTATTATACAGTTGTTGAATATTTTTTTTGTATTTTAGAACATAGAATATATTTTTTACTGTTAAATTAAGTTAGAAAAAAATGTGAATTGATTAAAAGGGACAGATTCTGTGGATAGTTTTTCTTTCGCACTCACTCAGATTGAAATGAAACAGAGAGAAAGAAAATGCAATACATGCCTTGCATCTAACTGAAACAAAATCATTGAAAATACTTTTATTATTCTTTAAATCGATTATTTTCATCTGAACATTGCTTGACTATAAGGAGGGACGGCATGATGAGGCCAGAACAGGATGGAGCTTTTTCAAAAATGAGAGAATAGTGGAAATAAACGTAAAAATATCTGGAAGCTGTCGAAATCAGGAAAAAAGACATAACGTCAAGTTTTCGCTGCATTAAAAAAATCACAAATGATTGCCGATTTCTATTGGTTTTTATAAAATAATTAAACATTTAGATGATTTTAAAAAGTCTTGCAGTAGTATTAACTTTTTGCTGAGCTGAGAAAACCATATGTCACAAAATATAGAAATCATGATTTTCACTCATTTTACGTGAAAAAAAAATGAAGAAAAGGACTGCCTTGTGATGAAAGGATATCAATTTTGACTTTTTTCCCTTTTATTGATAAAAACTAACATTTCCATTGAGGACATTACAACTCTTTAATTTTTGATCTAAATCAAGATATTGTTTCAATGAAAAGATTTATTATCATGGATTAAACTGCAAAGCTAGAAATATCATTTACGTTTCATGATTTAAATTAGTTTTTCTTAATTTTTCAACTCACTACACTAGTGTGTGATATTAAACTTGATATCTTAGTTTTCAGTTCCTCCCAGTGATAAGAAACCAAGGAGGAAACAACTGATTTAAATCAGTCAAAAGTCATCATAAATCAGTTGATTTTTTGTGAGTTTGGATGAGTTTCGACGAGTGCAAGTGGCTATTTCCGATTCTTTGTTATTTTGAATAATTTCTACCTATGTTCGACGACTTTTCATTTTGTCAAACTCACCCTAACTCTGATAAATGCATAAATCGCTGTTTCTTCTTGTTAGAAATTATTTCCATTTCAGTTCATAAAATCTTGTTTTGATCTCTTTTTGCCACCGAAGGCGACGAGGGCTTATGACTATTGCTAATCACTTTTAATTATAATCAGAATCGATAGTTCACTGTTAAGCTACTTCGAAATTTTTAGGATATTCGAGGTTTAAGTCACAAAGCCAACTGTGCCTTCAGGTAAACTTTTTTTGAAGCTTTTTGCTATTTTTGATCATCAATAAAAGCAATTAAGTTGCACTTCACTGTTTTAGAATTTAAGTAAACACTAGAGAACTGAGTTGTCAAAAAAATTCAAAGTTTTCTGAAGAATTCTCCATTTGACACATGTAACGACCAACTTTCAATAATTTCTTTTGCTACCTCATTGAAAAGATAGTTGTAGTAGTTGAAATAGTTACAAATTCAAGGAAATTATGATTGAACTCTTTCGAGNCCTGCAAGATTTGTAAATGAATAAATAAAATCGATTCTCATCGAATTTGAACATTCTTGCATCCATAACTACGTAACTAGAAAAAATCATAATCTGTAGCACGGTGATTTAAAGAAAAAATACACTTTGGTATACATATTAATTTAATTGGATTAATTTTCTTCTAAAAATTCTCTTGTTCTTTCTATTTATTTATATGAAATTCGTCTTACCTTTAACTTAATCTTGCTTGGCATTCTCAGACAAGATTGAGATGAACCTAAACGAACCTCATATAAATAAGTAGAAAAAAAAACAAGAGGATTAATTCAATTAATGACGCAATTAGCAGTTAGATTAGACGCATCGTCGTAAGGATGCGCTATGGAGGCACGTTGATGATTCGTATTATGCCATTATTGATGCGGCGCAGCTAAGCGCAGGCGTTGACATGAGGAGTTTTAACGATTATTTGTTTTTTATTTGGATTTCTATGCACAAGTGCATTAAAACGCTTCAAATCATTCCTTATATAAGAAGAAACTCGTTTTAACCATTTAAACTTTTTAATTCATCATATGAATGAGGTATAATATGGTTTTTTCTCCATCTTTTTTATCTGAACACGTTGAAACACTATTTTTAGCGTTTTCTCGTTTGCTTGAAAATTAGAGAGAAATGCACTACGGTACCGGAACAGATCATACGACTCATGTAATTAGATGCATATTCGACAGTCAAAACAAACACATTTATGCAATGAATAGTGAACACAGCCCAGAGAAGAATCGTACATGTCTAGATAGATTAATTCAATCTTGATTTCAATGAAGTGCAAAAACTGTATTCAGCATGTCTCTAATTACAAAAGCTGAGAAATTCATTCCAAAAATTCAAATAAATCAATGTTGCTGTAAGAAAAGATACTGAAGATTCTGTAGGATGACTCTCACATAAAAGCAAATAAAGCATCAATGTGCTAAAATCATCTTTTCTGAACGTCGTCAAGGAGAAAAGAGAAGAAATCTAAGAAAGACGGCAACTGAAAAAAGATATTTTAACAGATTCTCGTTGTATTTTATGTTGTCATTAAGGTTCTTTTTATTTTTTCTTTATGTTGTGACATACCAACTGTATTCATGATGAAATGAGGTATCATCTTTTTGATTTAATATGAAATAAATGAACCATTCATTTGTAAAGCGCAAAGTGTAGCATAATTTTTTCTACCAAGAGCGAATCATTCTCTTGCGAGAAGAGCATTCTTCTTCTTTTTTATTTTTTTCTAACAACAGCAACTACTACTCATTTTTTTTCTATAGATTCAAAAACAAAGTACATAATTATTATCAATCCTCATCTTTTTTTCTGATTCTATCCATCCAGACAATATATTGGCTCCAAATAAGCGTCTTTGGTGGAACATGGCTGAATTTATTTGATTCGAACTTGATAAAGCTGTCAAAGTTTGAGTCTGTAACAAGATGGACTTTCCTTCAATCATCGATCGAATATATATAGTGGTTTGTTGTTTCACTTGTCTACTAGCCTTTGGTTTTCTGACGATAGTTATTATTTATAGAAAGCTATGTTTTAACTTTCATACTCTATTAGTTTGTAATACTGTTCTAGCCACTCTCATATTTTCGTCTGATCATCTAGCGGTTGCTGTCTATATGTTAACTTCTGATCAACTATTAGTACCAAAAATCGATTCTCTTTGTTCACTACGTGCCTACATTCATTATTGTAGCATTGCTTGGGTTCATCATTCATTTATTTTACAAGCACTAGAAAAATATTTAAAGATTCGAAGAATCAAGTTTCTTGATAATCAAACTCGAAAAATGGGCATCGTTCTTGTTCAATGGATATTTGATTGTACTTTGACTCTGCCTATTTTTCTAACAGGTAACATGGTGAAACTGACGATCGACAATTTATGTTTTATTTCATTATCAAGATTGGATCTTTTACTGTATACAGGTGCAATCATATATATTTTATCAGATATTGCTCTTGCTGTTTTATATCGCTCTTTAGTAAGGTATGTACATCAAGTCTCAACGAGAATCGATGGCAATCATCAGTTAAAAATGCATCGAGACTTGACAATGGTACATCGCATCGTATTAATCAATTTTCAATTGGCTATTATGGGCATTCCAGCGATTATTATTATGATAGTGAGCATAATTCGTTCCGATATTTTACCTCATAATTGTATGCGGGTCATATTCATGATTGGAAATCTAGCGTTCGCTGTTCTAATTATCATTTTCTTTCGTATTACTCCAAATCTTCGACAAAGTCTTGCCAAATGTTTCAATTTAGCACCTGGTTTTCTAATAAGCAGCAATAATCGGATCCGACCAATAACAAACACAAATCGTTTTTGAACTTTAATTGTCTTATCACTTTTTTTCAAAAAAAAGCTACTAAGTCGAATATCTCAATCGAACTTTTTACTGTATTCACTTCATACATTGATGATAAAGAGATTTGATGAATCAATAAAAACGAAGAATATCTCGAGTAATAGACTAAGCTATAGCTGAGATAGGCTAACGCTTCATTCGAAAAATCATGCAAATGACAACGATTAGCATGAATGTATAACTGGCATAATGATTAACGTACCAACTAGAAAAAATAAATGTGGTAGAATGTTCTTCGCTATTAATGATTTGAAAACTATTAAGCATAACCTTACAGTTGTCCATGATAATTTGAATTTTGTTTTTTAATTAAAAAAAATACCGATGATGCGTGATTAACCCAAAATCATCAAGACTAGCAATTTATGTCTGCTTTTATATTACTCTTAAGAGACGAGGATAATAGATTTTGTAAGAAAAGAGGAACAGAAGTGTTTCGTTTTATGTTTGAAACAGTCAGAGAAAGAAACAAATTGTTGCATTGATCCAACTAATGTCAAATGAGAAATACATTGCTCTTGATGGTGTGTGCGAAAAGAAAAAACACTGACAATGACAACTATATCCACCCACACCCGACGGAGTGTGCGGATTTTCTCTTCACCCACACTCATAAAGAAGTTTGAAATGGATTGAAACGTTCAACAAATCTTCAATATTTCTCGAAAAACAAATTTTAAAATCCATTTTCAATTAAAAGATTTTTATTTTAGGTAAATGATTCATAAGTATTTTTTCGTAATCATATCCAGTTAAAAAGATCTTCTGTGCCTTAATTGTTAAATGATATAAATTCGAAAAATTTTGAAAAAGATTAATAATTAATTGTGATGCATTTCGAAAGGAAAGCTAAATGAAATGATTGATTAAGAAATAATATGCAATTGTTTACATTCGGAATAATAATGAATAGATTCATTAAATTGTCGACAAGAGAGTGTATATTGAAATAAATTAGATGTATCATTCAAATCAAAATTAAAATTTTCAAGAAAAAGAGTTTCAATAGATAATGAAATCACTGTATCTGTATCATTAGTATATTTCAATCTATATGAAAATTGATGATTGATTTGACAATATGTAAGTTTTGGTAACTTCCAGATATCTTCAATTAAATAAGAAAATTTATCTTCATCTTTAAAATCACAATTTATAATGGAAAGGCGTGTGAAATATGGAAGATATCGATATTTCAATATAATTCGATTTAAGATTCCAAGAGAATCGATACAATCCAGTGAAAGAGATCCAAAACAATAGAATTTATGCAAAGTGAAACGATAAGAAAGACGTAATTCAGATGAATTTGATGTTTCATCATTATTTGATAACTGTAATGAAATCTCTCAATCGAGAATCAATGGAACATGTTGTCGACATACAGTATGGAATTCACATTTAGATACAAATTGAAAATCGAGATGGTAGATTCGATAATGAAGTTTATTAAAGCGAGAATTAAGACTATAAAATGCACGTAAAAGATAAACAAAATCGATGAATTCAAATAATTCAAGTAATAGCTCGTTGGCCAATTCTTGAAACTTCATCTTTTTACAGAACAACAAAAAGAATACAGCTATTTCGTTTTGATAGCACTATTGAGTGCACCATTCATTTGTTGATAGTTTTTGTGAGAAGAGCGAAATCATTTTTTTAAATAATTTATATAATTTTCAGAATTTTCTATAGATGTTTATTTTTGCTCGGTTTTGATATTTCTGATAATAGAATGTCTATTGAAATCAACTATGATGAAGTCAAATAGTTTTCAACAGATATTGCTGCAGGTAAAAAAGACAAGAATTTTGATGAATGGAGATAATCTAGTCATTTTAAAAACCATTCTTTTTTTCATGTAAACAGAACAACCTATCGAACTGAAATTTTCATCATAAATAGAGCACATGAAACAAGGGAACATGCTTGAGAAAATCCTTCTTTTCGGCAAAACTGTACATTGTAACCTCCATCAAATGTCATCCAATTGGGCCGGAAATTTTTTGAAAATAACTTAGACTGGATTTCAAAGATAATTTTAAGTTTTTTAAAACTCTTTTGCTTTTATAAAACAAACCGGTTGACACCAAAGAAAAACCAAAGTCAACATTTAATCTTTCAAGACCGTTTATATTTGCATCAGAATGTCGAAAACGAAAATGATCAATTTTACTTGTGGAAAATAGTTTTAGATATCTATAGCATAAATTTCAACTCAAATAGTCGATAAAAAAGAACTGTCATTATTCACCTTTGAATATAAGACAAGAGACAGTGAGACAATAATACAACGTTCATTTCAATTCTTTATTTCAAGAACTTTAAGAGTGAGTACATAATTACTTGAGACAAAACTGCTGCTGTGTCTGACTTTTGAAAGAAACAGCTTGATTCAATTAAATACAGCATTTGTTTTGTTATGATGAAAATAGAAAACAAGTAACGCTAGTCGCTTCGACTCGCTTGACTCTCGACTGAATTCGATCTAGTAATCATCTCTCATCGCTTCCTGAATTTTGCTTATAGAATTATTGTTCAACACGCGCACGTACAAAAATTCTTCTTTAATATAGTCAGTCACGACCATTTTGTAAAAGAACCGAATGTTTCTATTTTCTGTTGAGACTTTTTAAAATGTAGTTTAGCCAACAATTGGCATCTGGTCTTCATTGTTGAATTAAAATCATGCTCCAATCTCCCCAGAACGTAGACCAACATGTTTTGTTCTTCTTCGAAAATGTTCGCTTTTATCTAGAACCATCTCTATTTTCAGATCCTATAGTTCTTATCTTGAGTTTGACTTTGTCGTTCAAAGTAGAATCAAGTAGAGTTTCCTGCGAAATCTTTATTCTACTGAAGTTGCTTCCAAACTGAAACGTTATGAGCGGCTGCCAATTATCCTGCATTTTCTACGAATCATACGTAAACATAGGATCAAACGAAGTCCGTATGAGAAAATCTACAGGCCTGCAGAGACCGGTATTTCACCGATTTACTTCTTTGAAAAATATTCTCTTGTGCTCATTTTTGTTCAAGAAAGATTAAGATTCCACGTTTTTCTCAATCCATATAGACTATATCAATCTCAATCGATGAGTCTTAAATCGTGAGTCCAGAGAGTATTGATGGTGTTTAACATTGATCAGACAAGATAATAATCAAGCAGACTAAGTAAAAGGTTGCGCGCCAGCTACTCAGGTACCTCGTTTCATTGGAGTCTCACAAAACGTTTCACTGGTACATGAACACCACTGAAGATACCGCTTTCTTCATAAAAGATCAGTGTTTACGTAGCTCACAGCATTGCTTGCTATATTATTGAAGCTTGCACACAGATCTTAACCATATGGAGAAAAATTTCAATATTTATATTTGAAGAAAGGAAAAAAAAACTTCAAACGGTTATTAACTCTTATTTGATATAGTTTCTATCTTCATAATGTGTGCAAGCAAATAGAGATTATCTCTGTATCTAAATTACCCAAATCCGATTTTCTCAGTGATCACTCTTTGCGTTTAACCACTGGAAATATGTTGTTTTATCCACACGAACCCTAATTTAACACAAATATGCTAATTCTTGCTTTCCAATAAGAGCACCTTCGAGACATTGTACGTCTGCACAAAATTTATTTACCATACTTGTTTGAAAAGAATAATTTTTCAGCTTTCTATCATTCTCAGACACTCTCTCAATCGATACGACTGATTCGATAGGAAATTTTTCTACTTATTCCAGTAGCCTCAAAACTTTCTTTCGAGCAAATTTTCAAATAAGTGTCTAGTCGTTATGGAGCGCCACTCCTGACTAGCCGCTCGCATGCTCAATTCTGCCACCCAAAATACCATCTACCGGTTTTTACAATATAATCAATTCAGATCGACTATTGTGACAAATTTGTATTTATAACATAAGATTTCTCAAGAAGTTGTAAACACAATATTTTGTTCTGAAGTATTCCATATTTCGTGAATTTCAGGGTCAATCTTGAAAATCAACATTACGCTATAATCCTTCATGAAAGAAATCCTCCTAGAATATTCTTGAGAAACGTTCTAAATCTCATCTAGATTGTTCCCAAAGCTCATCTGCAGTGAAATTTCCGACCACCGGCTAGCCACTCAATTTCCTAAGTCTACTTCTCCAATAGATCATGCACGTTGATTTATAATATAACCGTTCAATTTTTTCCTTCCTTCAAAAAAATCCTTGAATTTATAACAGAAGTCTTGTCGAAGGAAAATTCAATACACTAAGGCTATTTTGCGACTAACAATCGATAGAGTATTCTGTGTTGACGTTTATGAAATATGATTGTAGGCACGTAATTGATAACCTAGAGACGGCAAGCCACCAAACTTCTTTTATTTCGTTTGACTTTTCTTTCACTTAAGCGAGGAATCATTTTTTTCATAAAAACGTCTTTCTTCCTCCTAAAAAAGACTGGAACTCAAAATTTCGAAAAACTTATCACAGATGCAGATTCCTCGTCTCCGATTACGTTTGGTCAAACTTTTTATTAATTTTACGAATACATCTAGATGCGCGACTAGATACGGGCATGCAAACATGCATCGACGGTCAAAAAACTCATTTTATTTTGTATGATTCTCCCCATCAGTCGAGGGAACTACCGGTAAAAATCACTACTATTATCAACGACTAGTGATTCGTCAGCGTCCCTTCCGGCCGCCACTCAAAGCTAGGTGCTACCATCTCTGATTTCATGAGTCGGATAGAAAAACCACTTGATTGGCTCAACTCTTCAGCTGGAAGATTCTACGCATAGAAGAGCTTGATAGCGAAAATATCTAGTTAGCTGAATTTCCAACCTAAAAGAAACTGAGTAGGTAAGATTTAGATATCGAAAAACACCTAATTCGCTAATTTCCGACATGAAACACTTCATTGGATAAGAGCTGCACTAGTAAAATCACATTATAGACTGAACTGCAGATCTAAAGAACCCTGAATCGCTGCAGACAGCATTATGTAGCTCTCGTTGCAACTACGTAGTTCCTCAGAACTTCAGCAAGTCAAAGTGTCCAACTGAATATACACTTGCATGGAAACATACAATCGTATTTTATTTTTCTTCGTTTGATCCTCGATTCAGTCCTTGGGAAAAATCATTTCTTTCGTAAAAATGCCTTTTTCGGACTGAACAAAGTAAACACAAAAACTCGAGAAGCCGATCACAGTTTCTGATATCTCGACCCGAAAAGTCTTTCCTCGAACTGTAGGAAAATCTCTGTTTCGTTAAAGCATATCGAAACAATTTACTAAAAGAATTTTCGTAAATATGCAAACACATATACAAACGCTCTTTACCTTCCATCACTCACCTTTCAATCGAAACAATGACAGCCACACCTACATCTACAAATCAAACTTAAGGTTCGAGCATTTGACTTCCATAAGCTAGAGGAAAGTTAAAAACAAAGATCAATACGTTTTAAACTAAAAAAGCTGGCTTCTGATTGGTCTAGTTTTTGACCAATGGAAAGCCGGATTAAAAAACCGACATCAGATTCGGATTCCTGACTCTCGATAACCTTCGGCAAAGTTTCACTAAAACGTCGAAAAGCCTTAAAGTAAAAACGCTCGTTCCTGATTGACCCGGTTTTCGGCCAATGGAAGCTCGGATCAAAAAACCGACTTCAGATTTTGGTTCCTGGCCATCGATAACCTATAGTAAAGTTACACAAAAAGTCCTAAAAACCTAAGAATAAGCTAACCTCTCATATGTATTTTTGACCCCGTCACAAGCAAGCAAACAAACACATTTTATTTCATATGACCCTCCCTTAAGTCGAGGGAATAAGATTAAATTATTGTGCTAGAAAACGTATTTTTCATTTATTTACAAAGCTTTCATTATGCGAAGAAACTCTTTCGATAAATGGAAGATGGATATTTTTTTGCTCTGAAAACTGATAAAACAACATCATTTATAATAATGAAAAGTGTGGAACAATTTCCATGGAAATATTTTTCATAGACGTTTATATTAATTCTCAAATGTCTGTGTTTTCTATACGAACATTCTTCATGATATAAATTTGATCTTTTAATTAAAAATCCATTACACCTTTAACCACCTCGATTTTGACTTTGATCTATAAAAAAATATGCTGTCTAAAGCAGGATATTTTAAGTAAAGCTAAGTGAATTGCTACTTTTCATCAAGAAAATCATAAGAAAAAAAAGGAGGAAAGAATGTACTCTGTACAATACTGAAACAGACAATTACACGTACTTACAAAATTAAAAAATCTATTTCTGCTTTCCAGTCATTACCTTGAAACCTTACTATACTTCAGTAAAATAAAAAACTAATATTTCTTCGATAAAAATTTTATTATACATTAAATTACTTAGTTTGATGAATCTTCTTAGGCTTAAATTTGAAAATTGTTCCTGGATACTCATATTTTGAGATTAAAGTAAAACAACGTATTTCTTCAAAAATAATCCAAATTGCTCTAGTAGATTACTTTTAATAATGAAATTCTCTTTTTCATTTTCTCTTTAAAAAAAATTACGTTGAAGAAAATTATTCTTCTAATTTTTCTTGGTACTTGACATATTGCTAGAAAAGTGAGAGTACAGTCAAAGTTAAAGACTAAAACCAGTTGATCAAACACATTACGTTCGAATAAGGTTGATTGAACATAAATATGTCTTCACAATCTACATCCGCCGATGTCATCACAACACTAGAATCAATAGCAACATATTTATTTCGATTTGGTGGTCTCATTTTGGTTGTCTTTGGTAGTATAGGTTGTATACTCAACGTAATGGTATTTTCTCAAAAATCTTTACGCAAAAATCCATGTGCTACCTACTTGGTAGTTGAAAATATTTTTAATTTGCTATTTATTAACTCATTACTCTTATCTATAACATTAGAAAGTGGTTATAATATTTATTTTACTTCAAAGAAT